TGTGGGAGTGACGTGTGGGGCTGGGTGACCCGGATCCGGGTGTCTCTGTCCGGGGGATTTTCCGCACTCGGGTCACAGAGGGGTGTGGCCGGGCACCGCGCTATGTCTCGGCTGTCCAATTCGCGGCCCGGGGGCCTCCTCCTGTCACCGGCCTCCCCTTCCCTGCCCCCTGCAATATGGCGGCCTCCTCCCCTCTGCCACAACCAACATGGCGGCCCCCGGAGGAGGACTTCCGGCCGGGATGGGGAGAGCGGAGTGCCCCGGGATCCTCGTACTGCTCCTGATGGGGCTGAGTGTGGAGGGGGGTGCCGGGGAACCGACCGGATACCTTCTCTACTGTCCGTGTATGGGTGAGAGAGGGGGAGGGGAGACACCGACTTCTGACCCTATAGAGGGGGGCACTGACCTCTGACCCTACAGAGAGAGAGAGAGGGGAGGCGCTAACCTCTGACCCTACAGAGAGAGGGGGGGCACTGACCTCTGACCCTACAGGGAGAGAGGGGGGCACTGACCTCTGACCCTACAGGGAGAGAGGGGGCACTGACCTCTGACCCTATAGAGGGGGAAACTGACCTCTGACCCTACAGGGAGAGAGAAGGGGGCTCTGACCCTATAGAGGGGGGGGGACACCGACCTCTGACCCTACAGGGAGAGAGAGAGGGGGGGACACCGACCTCTGAACCCACTGACTGAACCTACAGAGAGAGGGGGGGGCACTGACCTCTGACCCCTGACCCTACAGAGAGAGAGGAGAGGGGGGGGGGGGCACTGACCTCTGACCCTACCCTCTGACCCTACAGGGAGAGAGAGGGGGGCTCTGACCTCTGACCCTACTACCTCTGAGAGAGAGAGAGAGGGGGGGCACTGACCTCTGACCCTACAGGGAGAGAGAGAGAGAGACTGAGACCCTACAGGGAGGGGGGGGTGCACTGACCTCTGACCCTACAGGGAGAGAGAGGGGGGCTCTGACCTCTGACCCTACAGAGAGAGAGAGAGAGAGAGACCTCTGACCCTACAGGGGAGAGAGAGAGAGAGGGGGGGCACTGACCTCTGACCCTACAGGGAGAGAGAGGGGAACACCGACCATGGTGAATTTGATTTAAATCACTAGTCAGTAAGGCTTGATGTAAATCCTAGTTTTCTACATAAAGACTAATTCTTGCTGGTATAACTCTAATATACAAGTAGATGAAGATTTTTAGAACAACTTTTCATATTAGTTTTTTTATCCCCAGTTTAATAGGTTAATCATTCATATTTGGACAACTTTTCTGTTGTAATTAGGAAGGAGAAAAATAATCATTACCTTAATAATAACAATTTAAATAGATTTATTCATCTGAAACAATAACATTCCAGCATATGTGATTCGCTTAAACATCCATGTTTGGTAACTAATTTGGCTAAACAAAATATATATATTTGAAGAAATTAGACTGTCAGCCCCTCCCTCCTCGCACTGTCGGCCCTCCCTCCTTGCACTGTCGGCCCCTCCCTCCTTGCACTGTCGGCCCCTCCCTCCTTGCACTGTCGCACCCTCCCTCCTTGCCCGGCCCCTCCCTCCTTGCACTGTTGGCCCCTCCCTCCTTGCACTGTCGGCCCCTCCCTCCTCCCCCCGCGCACTGTCGGCCCCTCCCTCCTCGCACTGAGCTTCACTTTCTTCTTTGTGCAGATCTATTCCACTCCAAACAATCAGAAAAATATTGTTTCTATTCTATTCACTGAACTTCTTGCACCTTGGCACTGAAGGGGTTGATTCTGTATTCATAGGTTTGTAGAAGTTAGGATGAAGGTCTTTTTCTTAACTCTGTTCATGTTATAACATTTTTGCTGTGAAGAGGCATGTGATCTCCGCTGAGTCAAATTCAGTTTTGAGAACTGCAAAAGTAAACCAATCATCTGTGATAATATCTTGTAGGCAGAGAAACTGCCCAATAATCTTACAAACACCTCTGGAAGAGCCTGACATTGTGAATGGATTCATGGAATTTATTTACCAAAACAATTAAACATATACAGCTTTATTCTACATGATTAAAAAACTAATCTTTATTTCATGATGGAATAACCTTTGGATGGTAATATATTTTCCTCAAAAAGCATTTTATTTAAAAAAATCCGATTTAAATGAAAAAAAAATCCGATTTAAATCAAAAAAAATCCGATTTTAAATCAAAAAAAATCCAATTTTTTTTTATTTTTTTAAAAAAATCATTGATTTTTATCCACCCTGACACCGACCTCTGGCCCTATAGAGAGAGGGGGGCACCGACCTCAGAACCTATGAGGGGGGGACACTGACCTTTGACCCTACAGACTGTATGCTGACCCTATGAGGGTGTCATGTTTGTGGTACATAGCCGGTGATGAGGGTCTTCATTGGCCGCCCTCCATTGTGGTGACATGCTCAGATTTGGTGATTTCAGTGCGTTCCGGAGCCGCTCCTTATCAGCGATCTGCACCCCCATTATCCCTCATTCATTATTCTCTGTTTTTATATAAAATGGATTTCCTGAGGCACAGCGGAGGATCGGCACACCCTGCTCAGCCTAATCCGGGACAGGCGGAGAGGTCCCTGTGCTCCCAGCACCATGCTGACCATTGTGAACATAGCCCATCACACTGTCCTCCACCCTCCTCTCCTCCTCCTCCTCACCTCTCCTCCTCCACCCTCCTCTCCAGGGATTTCCTCCTTCCAGAATTCCATACTAGTGAGGGAAAGAAGCAACGCCGAAAGTGATGGGAAATCCAACGTTTCAAAGTGTTACCAGAACAGGAATAGAGGGAACTCTTTTCAATGGGGACACTTAAAAAAGAAGAGAGAGTGTAAGGAGCGGAGTCCTCCAGCAGTGCAGAGTATTTCAGGAGAGGAGAGTTATAGAGGAAGGAGCGGAGTCCTCCAGCAGTGCAGAGTATTTCAGGAGAGGAGAGTATAGAGGAAGGAGCGGAGTCCTCCAGCAGTGCAGAGTATTTCAGGAGAGGAGAGTTATAGAGGAAGGAGCGGAGTCCTCCAGCAGTGCAGAGTATTTCAGGAGAGGAGAGTTATAGAGGAAGGAGCGGAGTCCTCCAGCAGTGCAGAGTATTTCAGGAGAGGAGAGTTATAGAGGAAGGAGAGGAGTCCTCCAGCAGTGCAGAGTATTTCAGGAGAGGAGAGTTATAGAGGAAGGAGCGGAGTCCTCCAGCAGCGCAGAGTATTTCAGGAGAGGAGAGCTTATAGAGGAAGGAGAGGAGTCCTCCAGCAGTGCAGAGTATTTCAGGAGAGGAGAGTATAGAGGAAGGAGAGGAGTCCTCCAGCAGTGCAGAGTATTTCAGGAGAGGAGAGTTATAGAGGAAGGAGCGGAGTCCTCCAGCAGCGCAGAGTATTTCAGGAGAGGAGAGTTATAGAGGAAGGAGCGGAGTCCTCCGCAGAGCAGAGTATTTCAGGAGAGGAGAGTTATAGAGGAAGGAAGGGAGTCCTCCAGCAGCGCAGAGTATTTCAGGAGAGGGAGTTATAGAGGAAGGAGCGGAGTCCTCCGGCAGAGCAGAGTATTTCAGGAGAGGAGAGTTATAGAGGAAGGAAGGGAGTCCTCCGCAGTGCAGAGTATTTCAGGAGAGGAGAGTTATAGAGGAAGGAGCAGGAGTCCTCCAGCAGCGCAGAGTATTTCAGGAGAGGGAGAGTTATAGAGGAAGGAGCGGAGTCCTCCAGCAGAGCAGAGTATTTCAGGAGAGGAGAGTTATAGAGGAAGGAGCGGAGTCCTCCAGCAGTGCAGAGGATTTCAGGAGAGGAGAGTTATAGAGGAAGGAGCGGAGTCCTCCAGCAGTGCAGAGTATTTCAGGAGGAAAGTTATAGAGGAAGGAGCGGAGTCCTCCAGCAGTGCAGAGGATTTCAGGAGAGGAGAGTTATAGAGGAAGGAGCGGAGTCCTCCAGCAGTGCAGAGTATTTCAGGAGAGGAGAGTTATAGAGGAAGGAGCGGAGTCCTCCAGCAGCGCAGAGTATTTCAGGAGAGGAGAGTTATAGAGGAAGGAGCGGAGTCCTCCAGCAGTGCAGCAGAGTATTTCAGGAGAGGAGAGCTATAGAGGAAGGAGCGGAGTCCTCCAGCAGAGCAGAGTATTTCAGGAGAGGAGAGTTATAGAGGAAGGAGCGGAGTCCTCCAGCAGCGCAGAGTATTTCAGGAGGGGAGAGTTATAGAGGAAGGAGCGGAGTCCTCCAGCAGTGCAGAGTATTTCAGGAGAGGAGAGTTATAGAGGAAGGAGCGGAGTCCTCCAGCAGTGCAGAGTATTTCAGGAGAGGAGAGTTATAGAGGAAGGAGCGGAGTCCTCCAGCAGAGCAGAGTATTTCAGGAGAGGAGAGTCATAGAGGAAGGAGCTGAGTCCTCCAGCAGTGCAGAGTATTTCAGGAGAGGAGAGTTATAGAGGAAGGAGCGGAGTCCTCCAGCAGCGCAGAGTATTTCAGGAGAGGGAGAGTTATAGAGGAAGGAGCGGAGTCCTCCAGCAGCGCAGAGTATTTCAGGAGAGGAGAGCTATAGAGGAAGGAGCGGAGTCCTCCAGCAGAGCAGAGTATTTCAGGAGAGGAGAGTTATAGAGGAAGGAGCGGAGTCCTCCAGCAGCGCAGAGTATTTCAGGAGGGGAGAGTTATAGAGGAAGGAGCGGAGTCCTCCAGCAGTGCAGAGTATTTCAGGAGAGGAGAGTTATAGAGGAAGGAGCGGAGTCCTCCAGCAGTGCAGAGTATTTCAGGAGAGGAGAGTTATAGAGGAAGGAGCGGAGTCCTCCAGCAGTGCAGAGTATTTCAGGAGAGGAGAGTTATAGAGGAAGGAGCGGAGTCCTCCAGCAGTGCAGAGTATTTCAGGAGAGGAGAGTAAGGTGCCATTCATTCATAGAATAGTATTATGATGTTCCTATTAGTATGATGCAGATAGGTTGCCATGTGAACAATGTTCTATCATCTGACATGTTGGGCTTTTTGCTCAGGACGTTTTGGCAATCAGGCGGATCATTTCCTCGGTACGTTGGCATTCGCAAAGATGGTGAACCGGACTCTGGTGGTCCCTCCCTGGATTGTGTATAACCATCACCGCCAGCCATTCAGTAATGTGAGTATTAAAGAGACTATTACAGCATCAGAATTTCTGGGATAAATCTACATGACGTCTATAGATAAACTACAACCCGGGAACTGGCTTTAATTCACGTGTGTGTATATATATACAGTGGGGATCGAAAGTTTGGGCACCCCAGCTAAAAATTTGTATTAATGTGCATAAAGAAGCCAAGGAAAGATGGAAAAATCTCCAAAAGGCATCAAATTACAGATTAGACATTCTTATGATATGTCAACAAAAAATTAGATTTTATTTCCATCATTTACACTTTCAAAATAACAGAAAACAAAAAAATGGCGTCTGCAAAAGTTTGGGCACCCTGCAGAATTTATAGCATGCACTGCCCCCTTTGCAAAGCTGAGACCTGCCAGTGTCATGGATTGTTCTCAATCATTGTCTGGGAAGACCAGGTGATGTCAATCTCAAAGGTTTTAAATGCCCAGACTAATCTGACCTTGCCCCAAAACTGAAACTGAAAATAGGTTTCTAAGCAGTTGTCTAGAAAACTGAAAGCTGGAGAAGGCTATAAGAAGATAGCAAAGCGTTTTCAGATGTCAATATCCTCTGTTCGGAATGTAATTAAGAAATGGCAGTCATCAGGAACAGTGGAAGTTAAAGCAAGATCTGGAAGACCAAGAAAAATATCAGACAGAACAGCTCGCAGGATTGTGAGAAAAACAATTCAAAACCCACGTTTGACTGCACGATCCCTCCAGAAAGATCTGGCAGACACTGGAGTTGTGGTCACTATTCCACTATAAAGAGATACTTGTACAAATATGGTTTTCATGGAAGAGTCATCAGAAGAAAACCTCTTCTACGTCCTCACCACAAAAATCATCGTTTGAACTTTGCAAATGAACATATAGACAAAGCCTGATGCATTTTGGAAACAAGTTCTGTGGACCGATGAGGTTAAAATTGAACTTTTTGGCCGGAATGAGCAAAGGTACGTTTGGAGAAGAAGGGGCACAGAATTTAATGAAAACAACCTCTGTCCAACTGTGAAGCATGGGGTTGGATCAATCATGCTTTGGGGTTGTGTTGCAGCCAGTGGCACAGGGAACATCTCACGAGTAGAAGGAAAAATGGATTCAATAAAATTTCAGCAAATTTTGGATGGTAACTTGATGCCATCTGTGAAAAAGCTGAAGTTAAAGAGAGGATGGCTTCTACAAATGGATAATGATCCTAAACACACCTTGAAATCCACGGGGGATTACATCAAGAGGCGTAAACTGAAGGTTTTGCCATGGCCTTCACAATCTCCTGACCTCAACATAATTGAAAATCTATGGATAGACCTTAAAAGAGCCGTGCGTGACAGACAGCCCAGAAATCTCAAAGAACTGGAAGACTTTTGTAAGGAAGAATGGGCAAAGATACCTCAAACAAGAATTGAAAGACTCTTGGCTGGCTACAAAAAGCGTTTACAAGCCGTGATACTTGCCAAAGGGGGCAGTACAAGATATGAACTCTGCAGGGGGCCCAAACTTTTGCAGACGCCATTTTTTTTGTTTTCTGTTATTTTGAAAGTGTAAATGATGGAAATAAAATCTAACTTTTGTTGACATATTATAAGAATGTCTAATCTGTAATTTGATGCCTTTTGGAGATTTTTCCATCTTTCCTTGGCTTCTTTATGCACATTAATACAAATTTTTAGCTGGGGTGCCCAAACATTCGATCCCCACTGTATATATATATACATACATACATACATATATACACCGTGTTCCAAATTATTCTGCAAATGATATTTTTCTCATTTCCCTCAATAATTGATGTAAATAACAGTCGGCAGAATTCTCAGGTTACAACTAGAAGAGTACAATTCACATTTTATTCAACAAACCTCCTAATGATAACAGGATTTGTGTTCCGGATTATTCCGCACAGGAAGTTTCAAAACACTTTATAGGTTGTAAAGAACTGAAAATTGTCATTTGTTGTGTTTGCAGCATATTTACTGAAATCAAAAGCTATTTCAATCAAACTTTTAACAACATTTTAATTTTTTAAACATTTGAAGCGGTCACGTTACATTGTAACATAGGACCCCTTATTTGATAGCAGATCACAAGTCTGCCATCCATTGAACTTGAGAGTTTTTGGACAGTTTCTGCTTGAATTTGTTTGCAAGATGTCAGAATAGCCTCCCAGATGGATGTAAAACTTCCTCCCACCCTCATAAATCTTTTGCTTGAGGATGCTCCAAAGCTTCTCAATAGGATTGAGGTCAGGGGGGGATGGAGGCCACACCATGACTTTCTCTCCTTTTATCCCCATAGCAGCCATTGATGCAGAGGTATTCTTTGCAGCATGAGATGGTGCATTGTCATGCATGAAGATGATTTTATTACGGAAAGCATAGTTCTTCCTTCTGTACCAGGGAAGAAAGTGGTCAGTCATAAACTCCACATAGTTTGCAGAGGTCATCTTTACACCTTCAGGGGCTCTAAAGGGGCCGACCAGCTCTGTTCCCATGATTCCGGCCCAAAACAAGACTCCACCACCGCCTTGCTGACGTCGCAGCCTTGTTGGAACAGGGTGGCCGCCCACCAACCATCCACTTCTTCATAGTGCGATGATCGTGCTTACGTTTTCCTGAAATATCGAATGTTTTCATCCCTCGTCCAAGGCTTCGAACTATTTCACTCTTTTCGGCAGCAGAGAGATCCTTTTTCTTCCCCATATTGCTTGAAAATGGTGCTCTGCTTAATAATGTGGAACCCCCTCCTTTAGTAGTTTTTCCTTAAATTGGGCTCACCAGCCAATCTAATTATCACAGGTGTCCAAGATTGTTTTCAGTGATCAAAAGAGCCCTGACACACAATGCCATCCATGAGTTACACTGAAAAACAAAATATTTCATCTTTGTGACACTTAAATAGAATTTGCATAATAATTTGGAACACGGTGTGTGTATATATATATATATATATATATATATATATATTTTTTTTTTTTTTATATACACACACATACATACATACATACATACACACATATATATATATGACCACAGCGCTTTCCCAATGCTGCTAATCTTCCTGTATTCCAGACTCACGTTCCGTATGAGGAGTTCTTCCAGTTGGCTCCCCTGCAGAAGTATCACCGAGTGATGAGCATGGAGGACTTCATGGAGAAACTGGCCCCCAGACACTGGCCGGCGGACAAGCGTGTGGCCTATTGCTTCACAGCGGCTGCCAAGAGGAGCTCCGACCAGCAGTCCTGTCCAATGAAGGTGAATGAGAATTGATTGACAGGCAGATCATTCCGTGAGCTATTGTTATCCAGAAAGTGTGAATGTTTATGGGATGTTTAACTCTAACCTCCAGGAACAGAACGTTGCCACAAGGGGTACAAATGCCTTCACAAACCCAGATATTACCGTATATAAGTATCAGTGACATCATCACTGTGCTGTACATAGCCTGTGCAGAGAGAATAGCTGTGGGAGGGGCCCAGAAGGCTCCACCCGCTGCAGACTGCCTGCAGAAAACTACAGAAGGGGGCGGGAGGAGACGAGACCAGACACCCAGCACAAGTATAAAGAGTTGCAGTGAGCGGTCTTTATCACAGGAAGTAAAGTGTCACACTGGATTATTGCACAGATCTGGAAGAAATACACAAACCACGTCAAGATTTCAGGAGAAACACACATGACCCTCCTATTTAGACAGCATGTGATGATCCTAAAGTTCAGCTTTCCATGTCCACTGTCTAGAGGCACCACGTGTCTATAGTCAGCTCAGTTTTGGATGGAGTGTGAAATAATTATAATCTATGTTGAGAAATTTCCTCTTAACTTCCTGTCCAGAAGACAGAACAGGAAGTGAGGAAACTTCTCCAAATGAGAGGAAATCCCCTTGGTGTCAGTGGTACAGCAGGTGTCCCCATTGAAACATTCCCCCTCCCACCTGTTGCGGTGACACCATTTGGATTTCTCATCACTTCCTGTCACTATGACACAGAGAGGGTGACTCCCCAATGTGATGACACAGGCAGTTCCCCCAGACTGTGCAGAGGTTTGATGATCATTTAATTTTTTTTTTTTTTTTTTTTTAAGGATGGCAACCCATTTGGTCCATTCTGGGATCACTTTCACATCGATTTCATCCGCTCCGAGCTGTTTGACGGAATTAACTTCAGTGCTTATTACAAAGATGCCTGGATGAGCAGGTAAGCTGAATGCTTTACCTGTGTGAATGGTACATTTTGAGGAAACCAGAAAATTTGGGGGGATGTTGAAGTAGCGCGGGTGATCACGTACCTGGATCAATGCAGGGGTGACTGAAATGTACCGGGATCAATGCAGGGGGTGGCAGAGGAAATGTACCTGGGATCAATGTAGGGGGTGGCAGAGGAAATGTACCTGGATCAATGCAGGGGGTGGCAGAGGAAATGTACCTGGGATCAATGTAGGGGTGACAGAGGAAATGTACCTGGATCAATGTAGGGGGTGGCAGAGGAAATGTACCTGGATCAATGTAGGGGGTGGCAGAGGAAATGTACCGGATCAATGCAGGGGGTGGCAGAGGAAATGTACCTGATCAATGTAGGGGGTGGCAGAGGAAATGTACCTGGATCAATGTAGGGGGTGGCAGAGGAAATGTACCTGGATCAATGTAGGGGGTAGAGGAAATGTACCTGGATCAATGCAGGGGGTGGCAGAGGAAATGTACCTGGATCAATGCAGGGGGTGGCAGAGGAAATGTACCTGGATCAATGTAGGGGGTGGCAGAGGAAATGTACCTGGATCAATGCAGGGGGTGGCAGAGGAAATGTACCGGATCAATGTAGGGGGTGGCAGAGGAAATGTACCTGGATCAATGCAGGGGGTGGCAGAGGAAATGTTCCTGGATCAATGTAGGGGGTGGCAGAGGAAATGTACCTGGATCAATGTAGGGAGTGGCAGAGGAAATGTACTTGGATCAATGTAGGGGTGGCAGAGGAAATGTACCTGGATCAATGTAGGGGGTGGCAGAGGAAATGTACCTGGATCAATGTATGGGGGTGGCAGAGGAAATGTACCTGGATCAATGCAGGGGGTGGCAGAGGAAATGTACCTGGATCTATGTAGGGGGTGGCAGAGGAAATGTACCTGGATCAATGCAGGGGGTGGCAGAGGAAATGTACCTGGATCAATGTAGGGGGTGGCAGAGGAAATGTACCTGGATCAATGTAGGGGGTGGCAGAGGAAATGTACCTGGATCAATGTAGGGGGTGGCAGAGGAAATGTACCTGGATCAATGTAGGGGGTAGAGGAAATGTACCTGGATCAATGTAGGGGGTGGCAGAGGAAATGTACTGGATCAATGTAGGGGGTGGCAGAGGAAATGTACCTGGATCAATGTAGGGGGTAGAGGAAATGTACCTGGATCAATGTAGGGGGTAGAGGAAATGTACCTGGATCAATGTAGGGGGTGGTAGAGGAAATGTACCTGGATCAATGTAGGGGGTGGCAGAGGAAATGTACCGGGATCAATGTAGGGGGTGGTAGAGGAAATGTACCTGGATCAATGTAGGGGGTGGCAGAGGAAATGTACCTGGATCAATGTAGGGGTGGTAGAGGAAATGTACCGGGATCAATGTAGGGGGTGGTAGAGGAAATGTACCTGGATCAATGTAGGGGGTGGCAGAGGAAATGTACCTGGATCAATGTAGGGGGTGGCAGAGGAAATGTACTGGATCAATGCAGGGGGTGGCAGAGGAAATGTACCTGGATCAATGTAGGGGGTGGCAGAGGAAATGTACCTGGATCAATGTAGGGGGTGGCAGAGGAAATGTACCTGGATCAATGTAGGGGGTGGCAGAGGAATCCATAGTCCACCTACTTAACCACTTCCAGTCCGGACACTTTCACCCTTCCTGCTATCACACTTTGAATGACAATTGCGCGGTCATGCAACACTGTACCCATATTAATTTTTTAGCATTTATTTGAGACAGATAAAACTTTATTTTGGTGGTATTTATTCAGCACTGGGGTTTTTATTTTTTTGCTAAATAAATGAAAAAGACCAACATTTTTTTTTAAATGTTTTTCTTCTACAATGTTGCAAATAAATAATCTTTCTTCACAAATCTTGACCAAAATGTATTCAGCTATCTTTTTGGTTAATAAAAAAAAAATAATCCAATTTAATTTATAAGAAAAAATTATAATTTTTTTAAAATGTTCTTTTACATTTTTCTTTTTTTTTTTATATTATTTTTTTTTTACATACTGTCACCCTAGCACCATAGTGACACTGTACTGCTTATAAGATTTTTTTTTTTTTTGTTTTGTTTACACTGATTACTTTTACACCCATAAAGGCTGTAAAAGCAATCATTTCTATTTCTCTCTGGCTGCATTCTTGCAGCCATTGAGAAATACTGTGATTGGTCACAGCTTGTCACATGGCACAAGGCTGTTGTGAATAGCCCTGTACCATGTGATCTCTGTGATCATTCACAGATTTCACAAGTAGTAAACAATGATGTCAGCTTGTTTACTACTGTTCATGTGATCACTGATTGGCCAATCAGGGATCACTTGAATTGGGACCTCACACAGAGGCCTGTACAGCAATCTGTGTCACAGATCGTGGTGCTGCGCACTCTCAGGGAGCGCGCACAGGCAATGCATGCGGAGGGAGCACTCCCGTCCGGCTGTTTTATTGGCAATGGGCTCGACGGGAAGTGGTTACAGAGGAGTTCCCTCGCCCCCCCCCCCCCCCAATAAAAAGTACTGTAGCTGCTGTCTTTTAATGTTAGGTCACTTACCTGTCCAGGGATCCAGCAGTGTCCTCGCCCCGAGCTGATTCCTAAATCGGCTGTCGGGTGCTGGTGCCGCCATGTTGACTAAGGGAAATCGGCAGTGAAGCCTTGCGGCTTCACAACCAGTTTCCTGCTGCGCATGTTCAATCGCGCCACGCTTTGTGAATGGGCCTCAGTCTTCTAGGACCTGTGAAGTTTCCCAAAGGGCTGCAGGGGGAAAAAGGGGGGCCAAATCTGTCAAAACCAGATACCTGCTTCTCCCCCCTTAATGTGGCAGGGGAGGGAGGCAGATAAGCAGAGTGGCAAAGTGAATGGGTTTATTGCCCGCACCCTGCGCCCCATGTCCATGGGTGGCTAAGGTTTCTGTGCTGAGAGCGCGCTCAGTGCGCACTCCCAAAATGGTGACCAAGTGTGATGGACAGCTCCTGATCTCTAGGTCCCGCTGGTTCCCAATCATGTGACCACCGTGACAGCCAATCACAGTGGTCACGCAGTTGGGCAGTCCTCTCGGACCTGAACCCTCAGTTAGTTTACATTTAGGATACAATAAACAAATGCTGGGGATTGCTGTATTTTTATAAAGTTTTTGTATTTTGGAAATACACAGATTTCTGCGTTTTTGGTAGAATGGTCTACAGGTGGCGCTCTTGGTACTGTTTTTTTTATCAGGTATCCTTCCTCTACACACCCGGTTCTGGCCCTCCCCGGGGCCCCTGCCCAGTTCCCCGTCCTGGAAGAACACAGAGGGTTGCAGAAATACATGGTATGGTCCAAAAAGATTGTTGAAGAGGGAGACATGCACATCCGGAAGTTACTCGTTAGACCCTTTGTGGGTGTCCATCTGAGGATCGGATCGGATTGGGTAAGTGATGGGTTATGTAAGCTGTGACAGTCTTCCCAAGTCTCCTCCATTGCAGCAGATGATTGGACGAGAAGACAGGCGCACTTTAAATCTTGTCCGAAAAGTAAAGTGTGTTAGGTAAGGGGGGACTCTGATGTAAAGGGGATATTCTGAAAGAAGCCCTCATTAAAAGGGGGGACTTTGATGTGGACTCTCAGGTAAGGGAAGACATTGATGGAGTCCTTGATGTAAGGGGAGACTTTTTGGGGGGGACTCTGAGGACCCCAATGTAAGGGTGGACTCTGATGTAAGGTGGGACACTGATGGGGAGTCTGATGCTTACTCTTATGTAAGGGGAACTCTGATGAACACCTTGATGTAAGGGGGTTCAATGATGGGAACCCTGATGTAAAGAGGGGACTCTAATATAGTGTCTCCTGTATGGGGGGAACGCTGACAGAGGATGTCATGTAAAGGTAAAGGGGCACTGATGTAAGGGCAGACATTGATAGGAACTCCGATGTAAGGGGGGTCTCTGATGGGGATTCTCATATAAGGGGGTCTCTGATGGAGATCCTGATGTAAGGGCAGACTTTTGTTGGGGACACTTATGTAAAGAGGGGACTCTAATAGAGACTCTTCTGTATGGGGGGAACTCTGACAGAGGATGTCATGTAAGGGGGGCACTGATGTAAGGCAAACATTGATAGGGACTCTGATGGGGATTCTCATGTAAGGGAGCCTCTGATGGAAATCCTGATGTAAGGGCAGAATTTGTTGGGGACTCTGACGTAAGAGCAGACATTGATAAAGACTCTGATGGGGATTCTCAATTAGGGGGGACTCTGATAGAGATCCTGATGTAAGGGCAGACATTGTTGGGGGCTCTGATATAAAGGGGGACTGTGATGAGGATCCTGATGTAAGGAGGGACTCTTATGGGGGCTCTGATGTAAGAGCAGACATTGATAGAGACTCTGATATAAAGGCAGACATTGTTGGGGGCTCTGATATGAAGGGGGACTGTGACGGGGACCCTGATGTAAGGAGGGACTCTTATGGGGGCTCTGATGTAAGAGCAGACATTGATAGAGACTCTGATGGGAATTCTCAATCTGATAGAGACTCTGATGTAAGGGCAGACATTGTTGGGGGCTCTGATATAAAGGGGGACTGTGACAGGGACCCTGATGTAAGAGCAGACATTGATAGAGACCCTGATGTAAGGGGGAACTCTGATGGGGATTCTCAAACAAGGGGGGACCGTGATGTAAAGGCAGATTTTGTTGGGGACTCTGATATAAAGGGGGGTCTGTGATAGGGACCCTGATAGAATTTTTTTGGCTGTTTTTTCTTCTATTGCTCTGACCACAGAAGAGCTCTTGATAGAACGTATTCCTCCATGTACCTTTCATTCCTCCATGTACCTTTCATTCCTCCATGTACCTTTCATTCCTCCATGTACCTTTCATTCCTCCATGTACCTTTCATTCCTCCATGTACCTTCCATTCCTCCATTCACCTTTCATTCCTCCATGTCACCTTTCATTCCTCCATGTACCTTTCATTCCCCCATTTTTTATTCCTCCATTCACCTTTCATTCCTCCATGTTCCTTTCATTCCTCCATGTACCTTTCATTCCTCCATGTACCTTCCATTCCTCCATGTACCTTTCATTCCTCCATGTACCTTTCATTCCTCCATGTACCTTTCATTCCTCCATGTACCTTTCATTCCTCCATGTACCTTTCATTCCTCCATGTACCTTTCATTCCTCCATTCACCTTCCATTCCTCCATGTACCTTTCATTCCTCCATTCACCTTCCATTCCTCCGTGTACCTGTCATTCCTCCATTCACCTTCCATTCCTCCGTGTACCTTCCATTCCTCCGTGTACCTTTCATTCCTCCGTGTACCTTTCATTCCTCCGTGTACCTTTCATTCCTCCATGTACCTTTCATTCCTCCATGTACCTTTCATTCCTCCATGTACCTGTCATTCCTCCATGTATAATACAGATTTCCCTCCTCCTGACTCTCTGTGACGTAATTCATGTCTGCGGATCAATAAAGATTTGATTGTTTTTTCCTGGGCAGGTAAATGCTTGTAAGATGGTGAGTGACGGCACGGCCGGTCCGCATTTCATGGCCTCTCCGCAGTGCGTCGGCTACGACCGCCTAAAGGCCACGCCCCTCACCGTGAGCATGTGTCTCCCGGACCTCAGAGAGATCAAACGTGCCGTGAGCCAATGGGTGAAGAGGACAAAATCCCGATCCGTCTACGTGGCCACCGACTCCACCTCCCACACCGCCGAGTTACAGAAAGCCCTGGGGAAGGAGGTAGGAGATTCCGGGGCCGATGGGCCCTTTGAGGTCTGACCGTTCACTCTGATCACGTGCTGTTTTACAGCTCCTGAGTGTGCTTGACTTTTAGTAAAATATGGGTGCTGTAAACTGAAGTGTTTTTTTTTTTTTTTGTTTCCCTCCAGGTGAAAGTGGTCAGCCTCCAGCCGGACGTAGCCCAGATCGACCTCTACATCCTGGGCCAGAGCGAACATTTCATCGGGAACTGCGTTTCGTCCTTCACCGCCTTCGTGAAGCGGGAGCGGGACCTACAGGGAAAGCCGTCCTCGTTCTTTGGGATGGACTCGCCTGGCAGGAAGCAGGATGAGTTGTGAACCGGGCGGGGGATGTGAGGTCGACTGACACATTCCTAAACCAATGACTTTTGAGAAAAAAAACTTTCACCTGTGGAGAAACCTTGGGGGGAGATTTACATAGACAGGACAGAGTCATCCTGTGAGGGGTCATAGAGAGCCCTGTGCTGGGACCGTGGCCAGGTCTAAGGGATGCACCATTCAGAAGTCTATATGGTAGCTGAATCCCGAAACTGGAAGAAGGCAGCTGACACCATCGCACACTGGTAGTCACTCAGTCTTTGTAAATCTCCCCCTCCCAGTTGTGAAAGGTAAATCTAATTTCTACTGAATCTGAAGTGTCCTTGTCTCAGAACCTGGGGTCTTCTTGGCGGAGCTGACTTTCTGTGGTCGTGGTTAAAGCCTATACTTTATGGTCCCGTTGGGGAGATTTCCCTTCACTTCCTGTCCTGGTGACCCAGGAAATTTCTCCAAAATAAAAGGACACCCCCCATCTTGGACAAGTGTCTCCTTTTGAGAGATTTGCTCTACTCTCGTATTCCGGTGTGTAACGGGTAACGGGTATTTCCGTTATACTACCGCTTCCCCGTCCGAACACAGATCCACGGACACCACTCTGTCCATACGGGACTAGAGGAGACCAGTCTTGGAGGAAACCAGGAAATAGATACAAGATATATACATTCAAGGGAACAACCCACCTCCCTGCATATGGACACAGGGCGGGGCAAACCAAATCTAGCAACCAGAGACCCATCAGCAGACACCCCCCCACCAAGCCAATACACAAGCACATACATCCCATAATAGTTTGCTCCCAAGCAAGACACACAATAGAACAATGGGATGCACCATATGGCCGTAAACAATGAACAACCCCCACCCACGTATACATGTCTACACAATATCAGGACATTCCACCCTGTACCCCTAACAGGCACAGGGTGACTTATACATAATAGGGATATGGGGAGCTGAGACAGGGATCTCCCCACCTCTCCAAAGGGGGCTGTTTTCCATGGGCCCAATACACAAAACACATACATCCCATAATAGTTTGCTCCCAAGCAAGACACACAATAGAACAATGGGATGCACCACATGGCAGTAAACAATGAACAACCCCCTCACCCCTCCTATACATGTCTACACAATATCAGGAGATTCCACCCTGTACCCCTAACAAGCACAGGGTGACTTACACGTAATAGGGATATGGGGAGCTGAGACAGGGTGAGCTGTGTTCCATGGGCCCCCCACCCAAAGTCACTCCCGTCACACGGTGACACTCATCCCCGTCCTGTAGTCACAAGGACAGTTGGAGAGGGTTAATCCCTCTCCACAGATCACAGATGGCATAAAATCTGACAGAGGTGCTAACACTTTTCTAGTCCAGTCTGCTTACAGCTACAATGTCTTCATCCAATCTCTGTTCAGTGTCCCCATTGGACAGAAAATGCTAGTGCCTTGGGGCTCATTCACATGGGTGCAGTGATCAGAACACCTGTGCAGAGTCCCGGGAGTCTCCGGGGGTCCGTGTTGTCAGCCTTTTAAAATCAATGACAGGCTGATGGCTCTTCACGCTCCTCCCTGTGTGGACACCCGATGCATGGCCGGGACAAGATGCCAAACAGCGCCCCCCCCCCCCCCCCCCCATTCATGATTAGGGGTTCCTACGCCCAGCAGTCACTGGATTGTTAAAATCACAGCCACTGTTACTCCTGTCAGGAAGGCACCCCCATCCCTACATAAACCATTGCGCCCAGGGCAGCTGCCCCTCCTGCCCACCCCTTGTCCTCTGTGCAGCCACCAACCTGCCATTGGCTGGACCGGCCTGTAGGTGGAAGTACTGTATGGAATTGTCTGGTGGCTCCTTTTATTTATTTATAAGGATTCCATCCCTTTGCTTCCATCAGCAGGAGCACAGAGTCTGTGTAAGCTCAGTGTTGGTTGCTTTTGGAGCTTACACGGGGTTAATGATGGTCTCCCTTCTCCATGTGACAGTGTTCAGGTCTGGATATTGGCCATAAGGAGAAAGAGGATAAAATCACATGATCTCCTGTACTCAAGAATACCATTTTTTTTCCAGGATACTCTAACTGATGAATGGAGCAGCATAGAGGTGCAGCGAGCCAATTAGTGATGTATGGAGAACCTTTCACTTCAGCTTGGATTGGCAAAGTGACAGGTTCTCTTGACTGACTTTCGATGGCCCCATGTGATCTCACCCCTTGTATGTGGCATTACTGAGCAGGACACGCCATTCAAGTGTAATTCCAGCTGACATCTGTAACAAAGAGGAAGAATGACTGGCCGGGGTTCAGCATGCGTGTACAGGCTTTTGAAGTGTCCATTGTCCTACCAGGGAAGTCGTCTGCCTCATGTATGGATGGGATCCAGCGTCTTCGTGTCATGGATGGATGGGATCCAGTGTCTTCGTGTCATGGATGGATGGGATCCAGTGTCTTCGTGTCATGGATGGATGGGATCCAGTGTCTTCATGTTATGTATGTATGGGATCCAGTGTCTTCGTGTCATGGATGGATGGGATCCAGTGTCTTCATGTTATGTATGTATGGGATCCAGTGTCTTCATGTCATGGATGGATGGGATCCGGTATCATCATGTCATGCATGGATGGGATCCAGTGTCCTCATGTCATGTACGGATGGGAGCCGGTGTCCTCGTGTCATGTATGGATGGAATCTGGTGTCTTCATGTCATTTATGGATGGGAGCCAGTGTCCTCATGTCATGCATGGATGGGATCCAGTGCCTTCAAGTCATGCATGGATGGGATCCGGTGTCCTAATGTCATGTATGGATGGGAGCCAGTGTATTCCTGTCATGTATGGATGGGATCCAGTGTCCTCATGCCATGCCATGTGTGGATGGGATCCGGTGTCTTCATCTCATATATGAATGGGAGATGGTGTCATTGTCTCATGTATGGATAGGATTCGGTGTCTTCGTGTCATGTATGGATGGGAACCGGTGTCCTTGTGTCATGTATGCATGAGATCCGCTGCCTTTAAGTCATACATGGATGGGATCTGGTGCCTTCAAGTCATGCATGGATGGGATCCGGTGCCTTCAAGTCATGCATGGATGGGATTCGGTGCCTTCAAGTCATGCATGAATGGGATCCGGTGCCTTCAAGTCATGCATGGATGGGATCCGGTGCCTCCATGTTGTGTATGGATGGGAGCCAGTGCCTCCATGTCATGTATGTATGGGAGCCGGTACCTCCATGTCATGCCTGGATGGGATCTGGTGCCTCCATGTCATGCCTGGATGGGATCTGGTGCCTCCATGTCATGCCTGGATGGGATCCGATGCCTCCATGTCATGCCTGGATGGGATCTGGTGCCTCCATGTCATGCCTGGATGGGATCTGGTGCCTCCATGTCATGCCTGGATGGGATCTGGTGCCTCCATGTCATGCCTGGATGGGATCCGATGCCTCCATGTCATGCCTGGATGGGATCCGGTGCCTCCATGTCATGCCTGGATGAAATCCGGTGCCTCCATGTCATGCCTGGATGGGATCTGGTGCCTCCATGTCATGCCTGGATGGGATCTGGTGCCTCCATGTCATGCCTGGATGGGATCTGGTGCCTCCATGTCATGCCTGGATGGGATCTGGTGCCTCCATGTCATGCCTGGATGGGATCCGATGCCTCCATGTCATGTATGGATGGGATCCAGTGTCTTCATCTCACACCCAGCACTGAGTGCCTGTCCTTCCTCTCCCTTTGGGTCTGGAGTTACTTCAAGAGTCTGTACAAGAATAAGCAACATTTGCAGATAATCGATAACAGATCTACCGATTTCCCAGCCATAGGATTTCCTTTCCTGACGCCAGTCCATGGCTGTGTACTAGCACACGTGTGCCGCCATGTTGGTGCCGGGATAACACGTTTGTCGGGTGGAGTTACACTTCCATCAGTCTATAGGCACATAACGAATCCTAATGTTTACCAAGAAGATTTTCTATCACTTATTTTGTATCGATTTGTATAATAAAATATATTCGAGTTTACATGGTGTGTTGTATCCATCCTTCTATACTGTACTGGGGGGGAGGGGGATGTTAAAGTAGCCGAATCCCAATCAGTAAAATCTCCTATCAGCTCTAAAGCCCAACTCCGGGACTTACCAAAAATACACCTTTGTTGTGGGCTGCTGAGCGCCCTCAGGGGGTCTGGGGGCACTTTGGGGGGGGGGGCGCTGATGGCTCCCAGGGGGTCTGGGGGCACTTTGGGGGGGGGGGGGGGCGCTGATGGCTCCCAGGGGGTCTGGGGGCAGTGTGGGAGGTTGGGGGGGGGGGCGCTGATGGCTCCCAGGGGGTCTGGGGGCACTGTGGGAGGTTGGGGGGGGGGGGGGCGCTAATGGCTCCCAGGGGGTCTGGGGGCACTGTGGGAGGTTGGGGGGGGGGCACTGATAGCTCCCAGGGGGTCTGGGGGCACTGTGGGAGCTTGGGGGGGGGCTGATGGCTCCCAGGGGGTCTGGGCAGGGCTGCTGTTAGAAACAATTAGACCCATACCATACAGTCAACCTGACAGCCCCCCCCCCCCAAAAAAAAAAAAAACCCACAGCTTACTATTCTTCAGTAATGAATTAGTAAGTGATTAGTACCAATCACTCATTGTGTTCATTCAGGAAAGGGCTGGTAAATGTGACATGTGTACTGGACCTTTCCCATTGGTGGGAAGGAGAGGAGGGAAGCTGGCAGCACTGTAGGGTTAGGGGGGCCTAGACAGCAGGGGGAAACGTATGGTGCACAAGGAGGTTGGGGGGGGGGGGGGGGGGGGGGGGGGGGGGGGCATTACAGGAACCAATCCCCTGTATGGCTCTCTCTGCAGCAGCTGAAAACCAGCAGAAGGGTGAGAGAAGGAAGCCAGCTGAGGGCTCTCAGGGGGGGGGGGGGGGGGTTGAAAGGTACTAAAAGCTCTCTGGGTGGGTATGGGGCACAGTGGGGTATTGGGGTCACAATGGGGGGTGCGGAGGGCTCTCGGGGGA